GGGGGAGGGGTGCGGAAGAGGGTGAAAAAGAATCGGGAGGAGTCCAGGGGAATATGAAGGGTTGGAATTTCTCCTGATTCCCAGTCCCCGGGTTAGACTAGTGAGTCTGTGTAGAGAATCAATGGTTGCTGGGAATATCGAGTCGAGTGTGGATGTGCAGACTGGCTGGCGTCTCTTGCGTCTCTTGCGTCTCTTTCGGATCTTTCTCTCTCCTCTCCCCACTCTCAGACATTATAAGTTAGGGCTCCTTTTTATCTCGCGAGACTGTCTACGTTTTACTACCGTGAACCAAGTCGCCGGGAACCCTGACGATATTTCTTGGCTTGAGCGATCGCACCCTTATATCCTATCCACATGAGTCCTTCCTTTGCGCTCTCTCCTCTTCATTAGATTCCTTATCGTTTTCTCTCTCTCATTCTCTTTTTCGGTAATGTCTTTGAGCCTCTGTATGCTTTCGTAACATGTGCCAATCGATCGTGGGAGGAAGAAAAATGTTACTGCGTGAGGAACCTAGAAAAAAAATGTTCTAGTAAATTTGAAAAAAAAAAAAAAAAAAAACTTTTGAGAAATTCTACTGGAACGAAGGACACATGAAGGTAGGAGGGAGGCAGTGGTTGAAAGTGGGAGAAAGGCAAACGGACTTGATATCACCTAGTGGGGTGGGAGGGAAAAGGACTTTCTTCGTCAAATCCCAACGGAGCTTTGGGGATGCATCGGTTTGATTAAGCGCTGGTGGATTTTGCAAAATCTATTTCTCACGCTCGAGGGAAAGAAGGATTTAATTGGGTGTTTTTCCATTAGAATATTCATCCTGCCATTCAGTGGGGATTGCAACCCCTTTGATTTATCGTATTCTCTTATACGACGCGTCCCTGGGTACCTTCGCGTTGGATACGGCGAATCGGACATGAGGAAGGAACGAGAGGGAGAGAGAGGGAAAGCGAGAGCGAACGCGCAATAAAAAAATATACAATTTCCAACGTGTTGTTGCGAAAGTGTCGACTCAATGCTCTTAATTCCTTTTGGCAAATTTGCCGAAATTCGAAAAATCCAAAAATCTGATTTACCCCGTACTTCCGCTACAAGCGTTTGAGAGTTTCTCTTCAATTTACATGAAAATAGAAAAGGGCTGGAAATTTATTAAGACTCGAGGGAGCTTTGATAAGGAAGTGGCAGATCAACCCCCCGATATCACAGGTACCGTAGAAAGACGAAGGGTCTAAGGGTTTATCCTTTATATTGAAACAGGAAAGAAATCACTGAGCGGGATTTCAAACCTTTTCTTTCTTCGGTCATTCATTTATTCATTCATGCATTCGTTTTTTCTCCCGTTCCTTCCCTCCTTCATTCGTTCGACTACATTTGGAAAAGTTAAGTGGATTTAAATATAGGAGACAAGCTGAAAACCTCCCTTAAATCTCTTGCTTTAATATATTGTACATCCTTTCCCAACTGCTTAAGCAGGTATTAGTACTGGAACAAGCAGGATGAGAATTCATTTCCCTTGTTGAATATAAAAAATTGCAAATCCACCCCTTACAAACATCCTGCCTTTTCGGTCTCCCTTGCAGCAAGCGACTAGCTCGCCCAAGCACCCAGTACACATCCTATAAACGCCGTATAGACGTGTGAGTGGCGTGGGTCAAATTTGAGAAATTGGGAGCGGAGATAAAAAAGGATCAAAAACGTAGTTGACAAGGATAAATAAATTTCGCGAAAAAAAAAAAAGACACAATCACCTCGTCACAGAATTTTGCTTTGGTACCTACAAGGCACCTGCGAGATACATTCTAGTTACAGTAGCAGGTGTCGAGCTCGGATTCAACCCTATTTTTTTGGTCCGTTCCGAGTAGAAAGTATCTTTGCTTTCTTTGCTTTCCTGCTTGATAAAAGGTCAAAAGAGGGGATAGCGCGCACTGAGGGGTTGAAAAATGCGAGATCCAGCCAAATAGCTCTCTGCAGAATAAACGAGACACGTGGAAAAAGAATTTTGCCCCATTCATCCCTAATTTTTCAATATTCATTTTTTCTCCCTTTATACTTTTTTATTTTTCCTTCGGTCCCCACACGAAAAAGGTTTTTTTTTTTAGAAAATGACAATTAGTGGAGATCTCTGACAAATTGCTCGTTAACCCGAGCATCAATTCTACGTCACAGTTTCCCACCAGTCGCTTATTCAAAATCGAAAAACCTTTCGTTCCTCTGTAGTCCGCGTTTAATTAACATCTCCCACTCGACCAGCCATCCACAATCCCACCCCACTCCTGCAAAACCCATGCTCGTTCACCGTTAAAAATAATACAGGTCGATATAAGAAAAAAAAATTTTCTTTTGAAAATATTTAGCCAAAATAACATTTGCGAATTTTCTTCGTATTCGGTATGTTCAGTCTGACTCTGTACAGTACGTACCTACTTGGGATACGCAGCGGCCATTATTACAGATACGACGTTCTATATATCTATACTGCGATGAATGCGCATTAATTAAAATACGTAACAACTGCAACATTTGCAAGTATGAAATATTATTTATTTTATGCAGACGCTTTATGATGTGCCAGACGGTAAAAGGCAGCTGCGACGTATACGGACTTTATTGGGAAATAAACGCGCAGTGCGATCTCACCTGTATCGAGCAATAAAATGGCAAATCCTCGAGTAACGTTCGCCCTGACGTTGATACAGTCTTCTATGCAGGTCTATTGTTTTGCATAAATTTTTTTAATATATCACGAAGTAACGGCACTTTTCTTTTATGGCTGTATATCACACGAATAAACATCCCCAAGCATTATGATTATTGAACGAGGAGTGCGTCTGAGGTTCAATCTAAAACTGATAAGAAATAATAAAAAGTACCTATCGATATATTTAATAAATAAAAAAATTATTTACTTGACAGCCAATTTTTCAAAATTTCGTATTCCACTCTATAATTTTAGATCTTACGTTGTATGAGCTGTCATTTTTTGACGTTCGTAATTTTGAGGTTACAAGATAAGATGATCTTACAAAATACAGATATGTATTTCTAAGCTATGCAAACATAACCTAATCTTTATAATCTATTACAAAAATCCAACTCACCGAGATGAACACAGATATCCTTCCGTGGCAGCGGCCGGCGCGCGACTGATCTCTTCCCCAGGAAGCCACCCCTGGTGCTTCCTAGCTACACCGGCCACGTGCTTCAGCGCCTACTGCGCATGACCCGCACGTGGTGTTTTCAACGTCTTCAGCTTTCTTTGCCCTCTGAATTTTCGACTGGTCCAGTCAAATACGCTCAGTCGAGGATCAGCCCTCGAGTAGACTACCAATCGTTATCGATGGAATCCTTATAACGTGGATTATGTAATTGACCAATAAATTTTTAAAAAGCCCCCAGGCACGATGAAGGGCAATTGATTTTTGAAAAATTAGAAAATAATTTGAAAGTCTAGGCAATTATTTTCCGAGAAATTCAAACTGTTGCCATGAAAAGGTCGATAAAGTTTAATTGCTCGGCAAGGCATGTAATTCGCTTGGGGTTGCTATCCCCTTGCTAATTTATTCGGTTCCGGATCCCCAGGAAAGTTGATACCGAATAACATCATGGCGGATTCGTTATCGTGTCGAGTGGGACGTTAACCCTTGCGTAATTAGGGCTTGGCTCAGATGAACGTTAAGGGGTTGACATTTTTGGGATAAGCAAAAACATCACGATTAGCCCTTAACTGCTCGCTAGTTTAAATTCAATTAAGATTTTATTTCAAAGAATATATTTTCTGTCATACCGGGATTTTCTTTTGTTTCCTACCCTCGTTACTACAGTTTCCCTTATACCACCCTGTCACCCCCTATTCCAATAAATAAAAGCCTCCTGTGTCACTCGTGAAATATTTCAACCTAACTTTCCTCGTGAATCATTCGTGCCTGAATCAGCAATTCTTACCCCATAATACTTTCTCTAATATATATATATATATTGACATATTGATATATATCAATATACAGTATACCCACATTAACGCAACGCATGTATTCTACATGGACCGATAAATCATCGACACTTGTATACTTGTAGATGTAGTCATGTAACACGTATTTCACTATACTACTGTGGCTTCGATGACATTTTTATAAGTTAGGTCACAAAAAAGATATGAAAATATCTCATAATTTGCTATTCGGCAGGGCATCCTTAACGATCCAGTTGCCCGAATATAGCCAGTGTATGCTGGGGTATTTGTAAAGCGTAGTACGCCAGCTTGTAGGACCATACAGTTTCAAGGAAACGGTAACGACTTTCGAAGTAACGTTGAGGAAAATCAGGTTTCCGGGAATAATTTTTGGAGCATCCGATGCAGCTTTTTTCGCAAAAGAAAAAGAAGAGCCGATCGCCCTGCACCTGCAACTGAATAATTCGCAAAGTTTTCCTTTCTTTTTTTTTCCACATAAAATAGACAGAGTTATTTTCATCGTAAATATTCAAGCTATCTAAAATGAAAGTGGGTGTTTGATTTTCACGTAATTCATGTTGATTAAAAAAAAAATGTGATTTTCTGATTTACCGTTTGATGGCTTCCTTACTGCTCGCTATGCAATAAATAACAATGGGATTCCGTTATTCGTTCTGAGGCGTTGTTACTTTATAACGTCGTTACTTAGAAAGCGTATTATGGTTGCGTGTCTGCAGCTCACCTGTGTCGGGTTATCACCCATTTAATAACGTGGATATACGCCATTGCGTAAGACTTCGCCAGTGTACTACCATACATCAAGATGCTTTATTTACGTCGAAGCAATTCCTTGGAACTCTGCGAGAAAGCTTCTCCCATTTCGCTTCCTGTTTTCTTGCCTTTTCACTTCCGGCGAAATGGCTGCGCAGTCGTCTTGCGGTCTTCAGCCAATAGAAGGAGGGCAGAAAGGCGGAAGAAAGAAGGAACTGATGAAGCAAGAATTCAAAGAGCGTTAAATTCGACATTTATTAGAGAGCCCTAAGCAGCTCGCACAGCCGTTTTACAAAATTTCTCATTGAAAAAGTAATAAATCTCATATCCTAAAATTACCTGATATCACCTTTGGAAAAATAAAACAGCAGCAAACTGGGACGCTCCTTTGTGATTCACTGGAATCAAATAATTAATTAACCCTTTGTTAACCGCTAGAGTGCCGGTATTTTTCACCCAAAATAGTGGTCTTTTGACGTTGAAAATTTATAGATAAATTTTTATATGAAATATGCTGGGTCAGGTTAGGTGTCTTTGGGTTTCTTCCGGAATCCGAATTGGTCCGGGGCGGCACTCTGAAAGTTAAAATGACCGTCTTGGACAAAAGGATAGGGGTGGGGTGGATTTTTCATTAATATAGAAAATGCACCGTCTGCCATTGGCGGTATTGGACGTCCATGAACGAAAGCTCACTGTGTCCAATCTCTATTGGGGAAAGTAGAGAAAGTCTAGAGTAGGTGATTGACTCGCGAATAAAGTTATTTGGTAAAATCAATCATGACGTCGATTGATCTGGGTCGAAGGGATGAACGACACTGTGCACGTTCTGCACGAAATTGAGTAAGGGGCTGCAAAGAGTGAGTGTTCTAAAAGTCTTGTTACGGAGAGTCGGGAAGGCTGGAATGTGAAAGTCTGAGAAAAGGATGTCTTGGGATATGTTAAGGGACGAAGGGCTAAGGAAAAGGGACGAATGGCTTGGCTTCGGTGAACCCATGGCAACAGGACGAAAGGGAGCGTGGAAAAGTTATGTGACTTTTGAGTCTTTACGCCACTGAATTTCCAAATGGCGAATTCTTATGCTGGAGTCGCGCGCGGGGTTGAAATCTCATTAACAGTCATAGGAAAACTTGAAAATTCGGAATTAAATTTCATTTCATTTATTTCGTCCATCTTTGTACGTATTTCGCTTTTTATTTTATTTATTTTTCGTTTTCGAATTCATACGCGTCTTCGATGATTTTTTGTATTCTCATCACTCCCACCAATACCGCGAGATATTAATGTTCCATCTTTAGGGGATTTTGTGAATTCTAGTTTTCATTCATGGGGTAATAGGGGGATGGAGATTACTATTTATTACTCACCAATAGCACGGACACGAACCTCGAGCTAATCTTCGTTTTACGTTTCGATTCGGGGATAGCAGTACGCGCTTGGCGATACAACCGTGCGATGGCGCTAGCATCGAGGGTGGTAAACACTTGGTGGTTTCGGCCCTCACGATTCTATTGAATGAACACGTGTGTGTTCAATGTTCGCAATAAAAGAATTCCTCGAGAAAAACCCATATACACAGACCATGAGGCCATCTAGAAATATCGAGAAAAAATATATTTTGCTCTTCCGCCGATTTCTGGTAGTAAAAAAGTAATACATTACCCTATGTTGTCTCTTTGGCTCTCTCTCTCTCTCTCTCTGGTTTTCTTTCGTTGATGTCCGAATTTCAAATTGCGAAAATGGTTACGGCCAAGAGTTGAGGGTCGCAATCCGAATAAAGGAACATTATCCAGCAGTGCCCTTATTCTCACTCGCGGTCGAACGATTCATTGCAATTTTTTCTTTAGAGACTTTCTCAGCCGTAATTTGGGAAAAACCTGAAATTTGAAAAAAAATTATTTAAAGGCCAGTTGTATTGTCTAGCTGTTTCGTATGAATTTTTATGAATCTTCTCGACTGCATTAAAGTTTTGCGAAAAATTATTGTTCTCAAAAATCTCTGGATTATATGGTTTTTCAACTACGTTTACTGAGCTGCATTTGTGCTTCAAGTAAATTGCGAGTAAAAATTTAAAAAAAAAAAACGTCAGACTGTTAGTTGCAAACAGTTTCTGTACAATCTTCAAAATAACGAATCACGAGAATGTTGAAATTTCACGGGGATCCACTTTCTCGGATCTTCCCCTAGGGATTTAGGGTCATAGAAATATTTTGTCGGACTCTCAAGCACCGGCCGTACAAATTAATAGCGTGATTAATGTGAAGTTGCGCTATAAAAACTGGCTGTGAGCAAGAGCAGCCCTAGAACATAATTTCCCAACGAATTCCATTCAGTAGGCAAAACTGTCGAGTCCCAGTCTGGGAAGTTTTAAATAACCTCAAATTCTACGAAATGCTCGTCTGCCACGAACAATATTCCGTTTCGACAAGATCGAATTATTAACGAGACAAAGCCGTTGCGCAAGAAAATTCAAAATAATTGGAATAGCTTACGATAACGACGTAGAACGATATGACGTAATCATATAACAACAATAATAACAATAACAATATTAATACAACAGTATCCCTTAACATTTTCCAATAAGCCTATTCTTTTTAAACTTATCTATATATAAATTGGTTTTGATATTTTACCACAGCAAGTTGTCAACCTCGCATATATTAAAAGAGTCGCAATAAAAGCGACACATCGGCCACAGCGTTGCCAACGATAAGGATGTTTAAATGGCAGCAATTAGCCCCTTGATGATGGAGATAGGTTTTATACGCTTTCATTTGTTTTGCCAAACTCGGAAAATGTATCAGTACCACTTTTCGTAATTGCCTGTCTGATATTAAAAAAATATATACACTAAATCAACTTTTTTCCCTAATCGGCTCTTATCTCTTATCAACAATATTTAAAATGAAATTTGTGTAGCAAGAACGTCGTATGCCCTGAATGCCTGTAATGATACTGACTAAACGAATTGTTCGAAAATGACCGTCTTGATATATAGCTTAAACAGCGATATATGCTGTACACGAATTTTCATGATTTTTTGATGCTCCATTTCGTCACGGTAAATTGACTTTTTCATTGTGCAATTAACGTGTTATTACGTAACAGAGTCGAATGGCGGCTTCGCTACTTATCCGGCTGCCATTGATTACTCGGCCAACCCGTTCAGCAGCGCCATTGTTCTTGAGAATCATGTCACAACAATTGATCCAAACAAACTTGCTTTGAGAACAATGTTATTGATACGTGGCAATTGTTACAAGCTTGTTAAAGATTTGTCAGCGGTTCTCATGTCATATAAAACGATCAAACAGGCAGTGCAACGATCTGGAAGATTTAATGCATTTTTGTGTTTATATCATTGACATGCACTGACATTCATAGTACATATAACTGCACTCGTACTTAATTAGCTACCAGACCGTAGTCTATTTCTCACAGTGTAATTTTCCTCTGCAAGAACAATTTCAGATTCTCTTTGCGAGAGAAATAACGTCAATTTCCCAAGTTTCTTTCCTATTTGTATTTCTGCTCGCGCTTCTGCTTCTATACGGTCGTGACGTTCAAGTATTGGTTATTATTATTATTATTTATGATGGTACCTACCATGAAGGTGTTGCTGCGTTCCTCGCCATTTTCTACTCGTTCTGTGCTCCATTGTCGCCTTCGGAATTATTCCGTTAATTTATTACAGCGATCTAACGAGGTCGTTTCATATTTCGATGAAACATTCGTTTTTGCAGGCTTCTTCAATGACGTCAAGGATTTCTTCGTAGAAGGTTTTCGAAAATTCGAAATCGTCGGTTAACACTTATCCGATATGTTTCGATCGAGGACGAAACAAAAGTTTTCGACACGATAAAGACGTCCGAGAGAAATCATAAAGGGGGTTTATGGAATTGCAAAAATAGTTTGACGATAATAACCCATATTGAATTCTGTTATCATTAAGACTCTTAGTTTAGAAATACAACATTACTTTTCATTCTGAGCTCAGGACCTTTTTAGTAAAACAAATTGAGACGTAAGAAACTTGATAACAACATACGTTGCGACAAGACGGGCGGCTTGTATCCCCGAGTAATGTCTTTACCCGACCGAAGGGCCCCGAGGCGCCACGGGTTCTCCCGGAATCTACCGAAAGGCGACGGAAACACCCGAGCAGTCGGGGACCCGGCATCGTTACGAAAATCACGAGGAATAACAAGACGTTCGCGAGTAGTCCGAAATTGTGGTGAGGTGATAAATAAAGAGAAAGGAAAATAGTGCACAGGAGAATAAGGAGGAGCGTAAGAAGACGTGGTAGCGAGAGACGAAAGGGAAAAGACAAGGTGAGATAGAAGCCTCTTCCAGGTATGTACTTTTTCTTTTTGGTTGCAACGAGATTTTGACTACAATGGCAGACGAACGATCCCCCTTTTACATTTTCCCTATCAATCCCACACAGCCCTATGTATTTTAAGGCCACACGGTAGATTAATTAAGTCTAAGATTTACTATGTACAATTTTTAATACAAAGCAATATCACAGATATTCTGTGCTCAAAAATCACTTGAGACTCCCTTACCTTTCCCTTATACGAGTGTCATTTAAAGCATTCATGTAGGTAGATCTTAGCGCGTTGGCACGCAAGCGTGTAGGCAGATCGTAGGTAGTACGTAAATAGTACGTAGCAGCAACATTCTCAAGCGATCTTTACTGGTTGCCTATAAAAATTCGATAACTCAGAAGTATGCCATTGCACCGAGTCTGGAGAATTATATATCAGAGCACATAACTTCGCCACCCGTTAGAATCGAAGTTACATTGCGTTCGTATCGTCTTCTTGTTCAGTCAGGCGCGTAGCCACGAGCGAGGAGGACATTTTAGATTGACGTCCATATTTCAGGTCTTCCTACTACAAGCATTTTACACTTTAAAAGCATTCCAGAAATATATCTTTGATTTCCGTTCATTTTACATTACGAATTCTCTAAAACAAACAATTGTAAATTACTGATCAGTTTATTTTCATACGTCGATGAAGCAACGATACAGTATTTACAAACACAGATAAAAAAATAGTATATAACAATTTTGTAGTGGATCAATAAATTATTATTAATTGATTATAATCAAAGACCGACATACAATTTTTTATTTTATTTCAAATATTTTCTAACGAACACAACGCGAAGGGTTATCTTTCCAAATACCAACAATGCTGTTGTCCGCGCGTGAATTACCGCCGCCTTGCATGTCCGCATTCAGGATGCATCGTATGCACTTTGTTTGCAGGGTGCATCTCGACCAAACTACTCGGAAATTGCAGCATAAGTCAGGCGCTATCTGAGACGTTGATCAGGGACTACCTTAGATTGTATATCCTGTCTGGTTAAACGCTAAGAAATAATTCGAGTTTATCGCGCACGATTTCGTGAATAGCTGTGCTTTTACGTGAAATAAAAGAAAATTAGATATACCTATACGTATACAATTGTAGTTTATATCGAGAAATTCGATTTCGCTTCTATTATCTTGGATTATTTATATCGGTTATTTTGGATTACGTTTTTATTGTCAATAAAAAAAAAGCAAATGGACATCTGCAAAAGCAACCGATTTTAGGAAGACTAAAAAAAAGTTTTTCCTGGACACTGGGTACGTTGTCGATGTATTTACCAAATGTTTTTCGTTCCACGCATGCACTGCATTATCGCGGCTGCAAAGTGCATTAAACGAAAATGCACTGATCCGAACAACGATGTTTCTCCGTAGTGGGAATTATCGTTTATTTCGATTTAACGTTTCGTCCATTGTAAAGAGGCATATTATGAGTAAATTTCGAGAGCTGCATAGAAAATGGAATGTGCATGGAAATGCATTATTGCGCTTTTAGAACAGCTAACCGGACACGATTCAAAAACACTTTAGTTTTTGAAAAAAAAAATAATATACCTTATTGTTATCATTCAAATTATCGATCACGCATTATTATTTTGAAACAACCGATATTCTGTATTCTTTCGTAGATGCAACCAACTCACTGCATAAAAATGCAGGTGCAATGTCCTGCGTCGTTGAATATAACGTTTCCTCGTTATTTTTGATTTAAAGCATTAACGAGATCAGGAAAATGTGTTGCGAGCAGAACGAAAGTACAGGAACGTTACGGCTCGCCTTTGCGAACCACGTTAATTGGGTTGGACCCATAAATTCTTTGTTCTTCGCAGAAGAAAATTTTGAAAAATCATTTTTCAATGCGGCATTGTTTTTTTATTACAATTTTTTCCAAAAATAAGTCAAATTTATCAGATTGACAAAAAATAATCTTAAATAAATTTTTTCTGCAAAATTATCAAAATATAGTATCCTTCAGCAACTCGCAGTCTTAAGTGCAGGTGCAATCAAGCTCGAGTGCAGTAGGTTGCCAATGTCTTATACGTGGGTTTTATCGTAAAACTGACGTTAGATGCAATCACGATCCACTGTAAAGTCTATCATTAATGTTAGGCTGTGTTAGGTTAGGTTGACAGCAAACTTGTTGCACAAGGAACGCTTCAATCCGGTTAAGCGTTCCTTAAGATATCCCGTAAGATGATAGTTTTAAGAAATTAATAATTCGCTGCTATACTACAATTTAATCGCTCGGAATACCTCCAAATGTTGAGGAATACCTCAAAATATGAAACATATTAAGTAATTCAAAATCACACGAAAATATTGTAACACAATGTATTTTAAAACTTTTTTCCTATTAACAATTTAAATTTTCGAAAAAAAAAAAGAAAAGAAAATTTCCAATTTTATGATGCGCTGTCAAGTATGTATTTAGTAAAAAAAAAAGTAGATGCTCACGAGACCATCTCGTCTGATCAGGTAAGAATAATTTTTATGATTTTTACTTGAACTTTGCCCTCTCCTACTTGCCCGCACTTCCTATTAGATAATAGATTTATTTAGTAACGCCCAATGCAAAGCAGCCTCGCGCAGCCCGGTCGTCCTTGCTTTTATTTTCTTAGTCTATTACAGGCAATCGCTCGCAGCAATCTGGTGCAATGTCAGCGAGTGCATTTCTCGAGCAGGACTCGAGAGCTATAAGGTCAGCAGAAACAATTTTCCCAGCACGTTAGAAACTACCGCGTCTCTGGAACTATTAAAGGATGAGACGACGGGACCTAATTCCATCCAGCATCCAAGCATCGATACTCGGGCCTTGCCCTTCTGTATAAATTTTGATGGTTGATGAAAGGGATCCCGTCGACCCTCGCAGACTAAAGGTCAACCTGGGATACCTTGCTCTTGGGAAAATAAGGTCCAGCATTAAAGATCCCTTAAAGGTGGCTGCGAACGAGTCTCATTAGAAGTTACCAGTTGCTATTATCCTTCCGTTTCTCTATTTCTCTCACGTTGCCTCCCTTGAGACGGGATTCGTTAAGGGACTATTTGAAAATTATATGAATCGTAAAGATTTAATTTTATGATCTTTTTTTTTTTTAACGTTTACACGTGGATCAAAGATTCACTGCGCAGAGTCAAATCGAGCTACTCTCAATCTTGGCAGATCTCAAAGGCTATCCTCTTTGGAAATTCCTTCGACTATTAGCATCTCTCTTTTTCTCTTTGGATATTTTTCTGTATTTTTTTTGTTGCTCCTTTTACGTCTCCTTAAATTCGACAGTTCTCGTTACCATTTACTCCAGACTGGGATTAGGTGCTTTTTTACGAGGCTGTCGGAACCGGAAGAAGTGGTTATTGTCCCCGAAGGACCAGCAATCACTGCAGATGGCGCTACGGGAGCTGATACTGCTACGGATCCTACGGATGGACCGGATACTGCTACTGTCGGTGCTACCAGAGGCGTCACTAATGGAGACACTACCTTTAATTCGGAGAGGCCGGTGACAGTGTCTACTGGTTCTTTCAAAACTACAGTACCAGAACTAGAGCCTTGGATAACTGTCGATGCGGAAACAGGTCCTAAAAATAATAATTGCTTTCAGGTATGAAGGATTATTTAAAAATAATCAAATTTATATTTGGAACTTACCTTGAACCAAGACGGTGCCACTAGCTGGCCCAGCGACAGTCACGGACCCAGAAACAAGACCAGACACAACAGCACCGGACACTGGAGTACCTACAATTTCAACACCCGATGTAGCAACAGCTGCAGCTACGCCAACTGGACCGGTAATTGTGACTGGTGCTGAAGTTGGACCAGCAATGACGATTGGTCCTGAGGGAGGAGCAACGACTGCAGCTGAACTGGTAGCTACAACTGCAGAAGATCCACTGTTTGGTCCCGTTACGGTAACCGATCCTTCCGAAGGTCCCACGATTGACACTGGACCCTTCGTAGGACCCTTGACTAGCACCGACCCTTCAGCAGGACCTGCTACTACAGTTGATGCTAAAAGAAGTAATTTGATAGTAATTGAAAATACTGATTAATAATATCTCAAAGAAAGTAACTCTTTTCTACCTTTCTCGACAGTAACGGCAGACGCCCCGCCAACTGGTCCCGTGAGTGTAACTGGTCCAGCGACAGATCCTTTGACAATAACGGATGGGGCAGTTGGTCCTGCAATGACCGGGACACCAGCCCACGCTACAGGTGCATTCAAAGATGCAACGGAGCCGCTGTACGCTGAACTGATAACAGCTCCACTGGATGCTGCGTAGCCAGTTGATCCGTGATACGGCCAAATACTGGCGTGGGCGAATGCCAGGAATATACAGAGTACCAACTGTGGACAATGCGATCGAGACAAATTTATCGGATTAAATATCAGGAGATGAGTGTCGAGTCGTAAAATATTATCCTCTGTCCTCCTAAAGTATGTCCTCTCGAATTTTTAACGAGACGCTATTCCACACTTTTAAGCTGTACCAGAGAACAATGGATGCACACGTGGGCCCATACGTATATGGCGCGGACGTGCACCAGTATGCAAGTCGATTTGCATAACTTGGTCGGTCGCAGCGTGCAAGGCGTGACGTATCACCATCTAAGTTACAGCGTATCGGTATATTCTATATCAGCAGAGAAGGAAGATCGCGAAATCACGCAGCTGCGAAATACGTAGACGGAAGGAAAAGTATTTCCTGTGGAAACTGTAACACTTAGTATCGTCCCTACGAATGACAAATATTAAAATAATCTCGATATCCTTCGCTCTTATTGTTCTATTTGCTGCTGATTAGGGTTGTACTTTTTCGGCAAAAATAGTAGTTCCGTGTTCCGCCGCTAGGAGCGCGTTCTAATCGCGGCTTTTTCAGGGGCGTCGGCTGCAATAATAATTTTCAATCACGTCCTGTTTCCTTTGATCTCGTAAGTGCTACGTGATTCGATAAATTCCCAGCATCAGTCTTACTGGTTGCTACTGGAGGCCCATTATTTTCCTGTCGCAGCTGCATTTCATTGCTCCATTGCTCCATGACTTTTCAAGACTTTAAAATCCATTTTCACTCTTATTACAATTTTATCTATTCGCGTTCCCTTCTATATATAGATATATCGTTGTACAACCCTTCTACGTATATTGTATATACAGATGCCAGTATATTCTTTTTCTTTTATCTCTTACCAAAGACTGCATGATCAAGTCTCTTCTTGTCGTATCGCTTCTGTTCCCAAGAAGATTAACGCGTCTCCACTGGACCCGTCCGCGACGAGTCTATTCTCTTTATACACTGCTGGGAGGCTAAGAGCGGCGTAACCTCCGAACGCCATAAAAATTCACCACGCCTAAGAGTTCCTTACGCAGCTGCATCAGGAATGCACTAGGAAATCAGCTAATGAGGATTCCAGATTATCGAACGAGCTGGAAGTGATAATCGATTGACTTCATTGCACTTACGATTAATTAACACAGCATTTTTTACCTCAAAAATGAAATAAAATTTCTTTTGATTCCAGATGATTATCAATTTCCTTTTTTTTTTTCATATACAATATCACGTAATTGATCTTTGGCTATGCCTTACTGTGTATATCAGCCTTCAAGTTCACGTATAGGACGTAACAACCCGGTCCGGGTTGTCCTAGAGTGCCCTGTTAATTATCCACTCTAGTCAGTTAATTAGGATCACACCAAGACTCCATCGGCCCCGTATCATTAGTCGTGACAGGGTCATAGCCTACCCACCTAGACTAAGGATTGTCCATATTATCCTAGGGATATTTCGTGCGGTCAGGTTTATATTAAACGTCTCAATCGAGGTCGGCCAGGTTGGTTCTACATACATTTCTTTGGTCTGGCACTTCGGACTCTGGAATTTCTCAAGGCGACCAGCCATACATACTTTTTTCTCGACGATATTTCCGGTCAGCAATGCCAACGTCGAATGCAAATATCTCCGAGTACTTACCAAGCTGATGAATAAAAAGTAGAATCACAGTTAGGATTAGGTATTACAAAGAGTAAATATAATTCTACGTTCTATCCACTATGTATATATTATCTATTGTATTGTGTATTTCAATATGGCCTACGGTTGGTAACACATTCTGATAACTCATCTGAAGTTAATTACTGGTGAGATGTCAGTGACCTTTGAGATTGAGGATGCCTGAGACAATTCTTGGAATTGAACCTGAAAATCATTCAGTGACGTAATAATTGCAGGCTGTTTCACCGAGATAGGTTACAATTTCGGATTAAGGCAGCCATCGACTCGAATGCAGTTGCAGCGATAATCCATCCTTACGGGATGCAATTGCATTGATTCGACTGGATAGATTATTATTAGTCTTTCTCTCTCTCTCTCTCTCTCTGTCTCTCTCTCTCTCTCTGTCTCTCTCTCTCTCTCTGTCTCTCTCTCTCTCTCTGTCTCTCTCTCTTCCTCACCTTCTTCTACCGTGTTGTACGAGAATGGATTGTTCGCCATAGCGAATTTGCGAGGACTCGTGTATATCCAGTTTCTATGATTTATGCTGCCCATGTAACATATATATGTATATAATGGACGCATCCACTGAATGCATTAAGGATTTTGGATTTCTCGCGGATTTTGAGATAAGGCTTGATTCATTTTTTTTTCTTCATTTTTACGCTACGAAACAGGTTTTTCAATTCCCGGATAATGATGAGAACGAAAATGCTGGATTCTCAGAATTATTCAGGTAATTTGAGATTTTGCGGAATCCATCTAAAATGTTAATGCTAAGAAGTATATCTAGATGTCATGTGCTGTCGATATGCGGTTTCTCAATTATGACGCAATCTTTGAAAAAGTGAAATTAGATTCTTATTTCTAGATAATCTTCGAGTTTGTGTCAAAGTCACGTGGGTGCGATTGCATCTCTGACGTAGATACGTCACGAGGCAGGATTTTTATATATTTTATAAGACGATTATGTACTGGCAGATAACATTATTAATACATTGTATATATTATTGCCAACGATGGCAATATGTATATAAATCGATTACCAGATCGAGTTCTCGCCAAGTACAGTAGTCATTTGATAAGTAGTAACGGGACGCGAGTCAAATGGCAGGGGTTACCATTTTTTTTAAAATTATTAAATTTTTTTTCCGAGACAATTATCATAGCATTATCATTGATCGTTCTGACGCAACTCCCGTGGAAATTGTGCGACCTGCAGACTTCGCTGGAACTTGATTTACCGATCCTTACATGTTAACCGGGTTGCCACACCTGTGAATATTGTCGCGTAACTTCTGATACCGCCATACAATATTATAGGACATGTTATCATGCGTGCGTTCCGTGGCGGAATACCCGCGGTTGGGCTCTGTGTTAGTGACGTACGTGAAAAGTATAAAAGCCGAAGAATCCCTCGAGTCCAGCATCAGTTTTGTAAATCGATCTGTTACCTCGTCACAGAGCAAGCCAATCCTTCGGTCTCAACATGAAGTACCTGGTGAGTTTTCGAACTTTGAATGATGAATATTAAGGGTGGACCAAGCGAATAGATTATTAATTTGAAAAATGTCCTTTTCTTACAGCTCGTTACTCTTGCCCTCGTCGCGGTCGCTGCTGCTCATCCTGAAAGGGAACGTCGCAGCGTTTTGGGACTTCCTCTGGTTGGGCCTGTTGTTCCAGGCACCGTTGTAGTTGGGCCTCAAGCTGGTCCAACTGCCGTGATCGGACCTAGTGCCGGAGGTGCTGTTATTTCTGGCGTCTCTCCAGCTCTAGTCGCTGGTCCAGTTCCTGGTAATTGTTCTGCCGGATTTTACGTTCACCCGTATCGTGCTTTTGACAAGTCAAAAATAGTGAAATTCCAAAACTTCATTTCAGCCGGTGCAGTCATCGCTGGTCCTTCCGGGACTGTGGTTTCTTCGGGAGTTCCTGTGGGAGCTGCCGTGGTAGGTCCTCAAGTTTGGGGATGGTAAAAGGATCGAGCCTTCCTGCAAACCTACCCCGTCTGGACGCTCGCCGTGGCTCAAATTGGAATAGAAAAATTACGTGGGAAAATTCATTTGGTCCATCTTAAGAAAAAACGAAAAAAAAGGAAAGCTATTACTCCATCGAAAATAATGATATAAGATATGTCTGGCGACGATATATACATACCTGCTACCTCTCGAGAATGACTATGAACTATATGTTTTTCCAATTTTATCTCTTAATTTCTTTAAAGTTTCATGAAACCTGTTATACACGTGTACGCCGATAATTAACAATAAAAAGATATGCTGCTCTGAAAGTTCCATGTCGTCAAGTGAATTACCGAGTAATGCGTTTAAGCCATCAATTTTATGAGCGGCGGGGAGAAGTTATCGTGAAAAATTGCCCATAAAAGGGAATATACCGTACTAGCCCCCTCCGAAATATTTCATAAGTAAGGGAAGAAGAAAGAAAAAACATCGAGTCTCGCGTAAAAAGATTTGCCCAACATTTGCCCAATATTATCATCGACATCAAAAATTTCGCAGGGCACTGCCCGAAATCAATGAATTTGAAAAATGGAAAAAAAAGTTTTATCCCGTTTGTCACGCGACGTACCGAAGCGGCTCTAATTTCTGTCAGAAGCGCAGATCGAAAACAATGAATATGTAATAGGTGGGTTTATTCATGAAAATAAATTATTAGCGTATCTACAATACAATTATCCCTTTGTACTGTCAATCAACCAATATCACGTGGAAAATAGGCAATACGTTATTTACTCGCACGTCAATGATTTTCCAATAGCTAATTAAGTCGCACCAATTGCTATTGTCGGAATGTCGCCCAGAGAATCCGAGTCGTTTGCACGTAGCTCGTATTACCGGAAATTTACCAGTATCGTTCTCTCGTAAATCCATGGAAAATAACCTAACGAGTATACCTGCTTATCGGTAAATATATATATATGTAGTTGGTGCACGAGTTCAATATATTTTTTGTTATGATTCGCAAACAATGCAATCCTTATCAAATCACCACGTCTTTTCACAAAATCACAGAAGTATATGTTCAAATAGATAAAATATATTTCAATGCCATAAATCAGGCATATGACCATTAGTAACCAAACGTGTACATAATCAAGCGTAGTTTGTTACTTTTTCATCACATATAAAGTATGTAAAAGAAACAGTATTGCAATTCGAAAAAAAAAATCAACTCTCGGATTTTGATTGAAATACATATTTTGAGGCTCCTAGATTCGAAAAAACATTCATTCATTTCTGTCTCTGTGGTCAATTCTGTCCAAAAACCTATTAACTTTAAATAAAATTTAATTTTGATATTGAAATTGACACCAAAACACCAATCTATGGCACTTTACCTGAAATGTGAACAATAAAAAAATGTGCTTTGTATCGATAGACTGATAGCTCTGCATCACTTAGTTCTTAATACCAAGTAATCTCACAACAGTAACGTGATGCCAGTAACAATCGTAATGAGAAAGTCACGTGTTGAGATCACTCCAGTAGCAGCTTTTTATAGACTCCAATTGTTATCGATCTGTCAAAATAAAAAAACATTGAACTCGTGGACCGACCATAAATTTACATATATTTACATTATCGAGAAATTAAACCAGAATCAGAGTTAATTTTCAGAGAGATTTGTGCTTACAATTAGTAAATCCCTTAAATCTGCATTGTAGCCATGTGAAATTATCCATGACACCTGTTACCTGTGTATATATGCCATATCCAAATATATATAGTGTGACGTGATTTTACGAATCACGGTCCCAAGGCGGCTCCGGTTACCGATACAGATAGCGTTCTCTATTTCTGGTTCCCTTCGGGTCGCCACCCTGCCCAGAAGCTACGCTCCCGGGTTGATTTGAGGCAATTCTATGAATTCCTGTGAGTGTTACGGAGGTGTAGTGCAGTGCTCAACAGAGTGTCCTTGGGATACAGTTCTTGGCCTCCGCGGATTAGCTGCACCAGCTCCGGTGAGTCTCCCAATTTATTAATTGGTGAAGGGATCTCGATAGATAGTTAAGATTCGCTCTCTGTCGCTCGCGCTATTTGCCGGACTCTTACTCCGACCCTTTCTAGCTCAACCTAGCAGCCTGAGCGGCCGTGCATTTCCGTAACCGTCCGCTCCCGTTCGTGCTTCCAGGTGCGTTTGCTGATTTTACGCGTCCCCAAAAATCGATAGGATCCGTTAAGCTACCGCCTCGTCCGATAGGTTCCGTCAGAGCTCTCGTTCTTGGTGGAGTTGGGCCTGTTCCACCCCAACTCCCAGTTTATACCGGCTCGTCAGTTCCCGGTGAAGAAAGAATTGGCTGGCGGCCGCCTGACTTGCGGATGCACGAACGAAGGGTGGACGGCCGAAGGTAACGTAGGTTGCTTCTCGAAGATAGTCCGTTCTCGTATGTTTTGCTATCGGTGTCGGGTCACGAAAAAGAATTACATTACAATATATATATAGGGAATATACAATAGTTACATTGCGAATGCAGCATTGAAAAAAAGGCATAGAGAAAAATGCAGTCAAGATATTTGATTTAAAGATTCATTTATTTAAGGGTGGGATTAAAGCGGGGGGAGGGGGGGGGTTGTAGTTGTTGGAACAGTGGGTAGAAAATACAAAAGAAAAGTTTTGACAAAACTTGGAAAAACACAAAGCTCGTGAATCGTTGTATCCGCAACAATGGGCTGTATAAAATGTTACACGCCGTTCCTACTGCCATTATAACTTCGTACGTAGAAGCTTTGTAACTAGCGACATTAAAAGTCCTGGACAGCAGTCTCGGTATCCGCTTCTGCATCCGGAATCGTCGCCGTAATATGTGTATCATGTAGTTTTTAAGTTTCTTCCGTGAAATTTTTTTTCTTGATAAAGTATTCGAATATTTTACCAAGACAATCGCCGATGATTACGGGTGGACCATATGGAACGACTGCAGCATCCTTTTGTTCTAGTCAGTATCCTCACCAGACTCCGTGTCCTACCACTCCTGGTGCAACTATCGTACCGGCGGGTCCTGCGACGACGGCAGATCCTGTGGCAATGAAAATGCATTTGCATGATTATGATAATCCAAATGAATTTCTTGTCGAATTAAATTACACGCTAATAATAAAATTCCCGTTTGGAATTCGAAATACGGCAGAGCTTACTTTATTATGGTAATATGAATTATTGAGATATTCGTACAAATGAAAATTGGTGAATGGTTAATAATAATAATAATTTTAATATTTAAATACCAGCGTGCGGTCCGACCACTGCAGCAGAAGGTCCAACAGGCCCAATAACAGCGGCTGACCCACCGTGAGGTCCGATCACTGCAGCCGATGGTCCAGCCGGTCCCACCACGGCTACGGAAGGTGCGACGGGTCCTGCAAGGGCAACTCCGTGCCCTAGGCCACCTAGCACAACTGCGCCATTATGTCCCCAGGGACTGAGGCCCCATCCTAGACCCAAGGAACGTCTCTGACGTTCAGGGGTGGCCTGGGCCACGGCGATGGCAATAGCAAGGACGATCTGTCGAAGAGTAAATTCAATTTTTCTTTTCAAAATTCACTAAATACCGGTAATAATTTATTTATGTCGATTTCTTTTACGATTCTTCAATATGGATATCTCCTTGTCATCGTTCAATAATAATGTTGTAATTGATTTGTTGTAGATGAATTTTCTTAAATCTCCCATAGAAAATGATCTCCTCATACTTACCAAGAACTTCATGTTTATCTTCAATGTTGTCTTCGCTGGTCGACTGATACTCAACCCTCGACTTCTCCAGCTTATATAGTGGACAGGCGACATTGCTCCAGGCCTGTCGGCAACCTTCAACCCCGCGTAAAAGTCTCGCGGACGACGGGCGTGGTCGTGTGTGGAATGGATTATAATGTAAAACTGCCGGATCCGCATGTCAACGTCGTCTTACGTATAACCGTACCGTTAGAGGAATGCTTATTGTTGCGATCGCGAGAGAAGAAAGAAAAAAAAAGACAAAGAGACATAAATAGAGAATAGAATTGCAAAATTGAATCGCAGAAAGCAATAATGTAATGTACGAATAATGAGGAAAGGAAAGCGGAAATTTCATAAAAAATTAATTCGCCACTCGTAGCGAATAACTTCGTTGTAAAGCCCTACCACTGACCGGGGAGTCATAGCGATATGCGAATTTATGTTTTCCAGTGTAAAACCCTTTCATCCAATAAATGTCGTTAGTAACGCGAGACTCGCTCGTTCGAAATCGCCGTTATTTACGCGTCGTACACAAATATCGTTTTTCGCTATGAGTGAAAACGAAAGCCGAGGACAAAATAAAATAGATGGTAAAAGCATCAATGTACAAAAAATATATATGTATATATATACGCCAAGGAAATCAAAGTCTTTCAAATTAAAAACAAAAAATGTACATCACACTTTTGAAATCGACAATTTCACTATCCGAATACTTTTAATCAACCCTTATAAAGGTGCGCCTTTTAATCAACCCAATAACAGAAATAAAATGGCGAGTTTCCAATGCACTTCCTATATTAGATCCGTAGGCGGAAGCAGCTTGCGTTGCGAAATAACTGTAGTGAAGTACGGGAGATTGTAATGGGGTGGTAGTGAAGGGTGGCTGGCATGTATGCATGTACTAAAGGGGTGTCGGGGCGAAAGGGGTTGGTAGACCAGACAGGCAACAGTCACCATAATACACGCGGCAGAAATAGCGCACTTCATGTAAACGGTCCTAGTGTCGCTAGGTCGCTCGTTGTGGATCCCAGAGTGGACAGAGCATTGAATTAAATACGAACAGTCGAGCGGGATCGGAGGTTTCCATGTGAGCGACGTCACGTTGTAGCGTCAATGCGAAACCGTTACGCGACCGACACTACATAGTGCGACACGATATTCGCCAATTCGCCAATTCGCCTGGCTGTTTGTTTGATTTGCGAAACAAATGCCATTGCCATTCGGCATTAGTCCTAATGCTGCGATGAACTGCGGAATCTATAAACTATCTATATGTATATCGGTTCGAGCTATCCATTGACTATTAGGTTTATATTGATTGCAGTATTTACATAGGATGCACTGAAAAGGGAAAAGTAGTAAGCTACTGGTAGACAATTTTTTGGCGAGTCCACAAGGCCTGTTTGGGTCCCCACTGGGTCAGTCCAGGACTAGCTAGGACCTCGACGGGCCCCTTGATTCTCACAATAGTTTTTACTAGAGTTATATGTACGAGAAATATAATGGATTTTATGGTTCGTTATGGATACACGTTATATTACTTTCTTTTAATATATTTAGATTTTACGGTAGGAGCAATACTTTTGGCACCATTTTCGAGCTCAGGAAGATTGTATTATTGAATTCGAAATGAATGGAGTCATTTTAATTTTGTATATCGAGCAGAGCTCAATTATGCAATGCCAACCTGTTACGGCTGACGGAGCCGATTGATATCTTATTATAGCGGATTGCAAGAGTGCTTTACTTTGTTTCTATGAAAAATAGCAGCGATCAATTCTAAAGACTTTACAAGTCCTTGGTTTAACGAGCGTCAGGCAGAATAAGAAGTAAGATCGTACTTGACAGTGAAATAATTAGAAAGTTATTACTGACTGCAGTCAGAGTGCATTCCACGAAAAGTGCAGCGTCAACCGGCAGGAGTTGCGCAAGTCCGCAAGGTCGTATCGCAAATCGCAAGGGAAGCTGGCCAGAGCTCCTCTGGAAATTCATGTAAATTGGAGCAGGATTAAAGTGCAACGCGACGTCGCTACGTTTTAGACGCATTTTATTTCAAAGAATGTGCATTACAGGCAAGAGTTCATTTATTTCTTTTTTATCTTCCCCGTACAAGCAGACCGTTGTACAGTGTGAGTGAGATAGAGTTGGTCAGGGACGGTGAGCAGCGGTTAGGGACCGCAGAGTCGTTTATGGGTCTCTTCACCAGATCCCATGGGCACCGTGAACACCAGCGAGGATGGAGCCATGACCGGAGCCATGGGTAGAGATGATACCGCCGTCAGGTCCTGCAACGACTGTAGGTCCCGCAACTGGACCAACGACTGCAGCTGCACCTGCGTGAGGTCCTGCTACTACGGTACCGTGTCCAAGACCCAGGCCATATCCTGTTGCAATAAAAAATCACGATTAATCATAAAGTGTTATTAAGACGAAAGACAAAAAGAAAGAAAAACAAAGAAAAATTATATAAGTCAGAACTTCACGAGTGACCAACCGGAAACGACTCCACCCCATCCAAGACCAGGTTCGGAGACGTATGTGGGCCCAGCAACGGACCCAATCACTGCGGATGGCCCTGCGACCGAGCCCGAAATTACGGCAGGCCCAGCAACGGCTCCAGACACGTGGGCTCCGCCCGCAACGGGCCCAGCGACTGCAGCGGCCCCTACGTGGGGCCCAGCAACAGCTGCGCCGGCCAATACGGGCCCAGCGAGTCCTACTCCGTGAAGGCCAGTCAGACCGTAAAGGCCACTCGGGGCAGCTGAGGCGTAAGCTGCTACTGCTACTAGTACGACCTAATCATACGAGGTCGATGGTTATCATGATACGTAGCTAACGATAATAATCATCAATAAACTTTCCCGTCTCATTTATAGCTGTCTATTCCTATTGCCGGGGACTTACCAGGAACTTCATGGCGGTAAATTCAGTTGTGCTGTCTCTACGGATTTCCTTGCTGAACTGATCAGCCACCCCGTATCTTGGAGCTTTTATATCTAGAACTGACCCTGAGATGCTTAACGGTACTTCGATTCGTACGTACAATTTTTTAAACCTTCTGTCACGCAGATATTTGCGATAGGAATTTTGCAATTTTTCTATCCGTTCGCGTTTTCCTTGAATCATAACCGCGATCTGTTCCTCGTGCGAATTTTTTAAGGTAAGGTTAGCATTTACCTCGTTACCCATACGAGGAACTTTCAAATGTCTTCCGTCGATCCAGCAAGCCTTTTCGCCGATCCTTAAGATTTCTTATCTAATATCCATTTCGCAAAGTCAAGTGTCCACGAGAGCTTCTCATTGTGGAAAATCGAGTGGGTATTTATATAGGTATTCGATCGGGTCGGGAGATCGTTAAGTGATTTCTGGTTCTCTCTCCAGAGATTACCAAAGTCTTTCTAGTCGGGCAGGTTGGCTCATCCTAGCGAAACGAGATTCCAAGTGGAATCAATAACATCAATCTCTACTTTTTTTCTCCAGAGTAGAGCTGAAACTACTTTCTTCGGCTTTTCTCGCCAGTATGCTTGTACAGTCACATAGATATACATTCTTTTCTATATCTTTGTTACGATGTCTTTATCTCTTTTCTCTTTATAACTGTACCCCATTCTTACTATCTCCTTCGTTCCTTCATTGTTCACTGCGTCGTATTCCAGCACTTCAGTAAACTGAGAAAGAACCTTTGGGAAGGTTTAGCGTATTGGAGGGAATCGTTATTCTCGAAGAAATGTTCAGTAAAGTAAGTGTAAGCGGCAGAAAACGTCATGGCATCTTTCCATTAAGACGACGGCATACGTCGTCGCGATGCGAACTTACGCTCGGCGAAGAACTTTTGCCGTGGATTAACGAAGAAACGGACACTTTGGTGTATATATGTGTATAGAGAGAGAGAGAGAGAGAGAGAGAGAGAGAGAGAGAGAGAGAGTAAAGGAAATAATTAAAAAAAAAAATGGGATTTTCTTTGGAAAACTTTGAAATCTATCTTTAGAAACGCGCACGAAGGATCCGACGAAAACCAGACGACCATCCATCGAGCGATAATCGCGCGAGCGTAAAATCTAGCGGAAGGAATGAATGCGATTCTTTTCAAATGCAAATTTCAACTTCGCCCTAATTCATGACTTTGCTGCGAGTTGAAATTTCGTTGTTTTTTTTTCCTCACTCTGCATTGAAAACTCTCCTTTACCGTCGCCTTGATCTTGCTTCTTCTTGTCGCTCCTCTAGAGATACGCCTGAGGATTGAAAGGCAGAGTATCAACTAACCGGATGTCAGTTAACCCTCAGTGCTACTTACAAGGGATGCACAAGGAACCCGAACGAAGGCGAAGGTAAAGGCGGATACGTAGTCGTCGGGACGCATTAATTGAAAACGAAGATTAAAAGAGAAGCTCAGCGTCAACTCGGCTGTTCCTCGTCATTCAGAACAAAGGGGAGTAAAATCTAGAGGTATCGGCGACGTCGGGGTCCGTGAGGTTGCCGAGGTCGTCAAGGTCCGTTCACAGAGAATACTCGTCTGATTGGAGTGACGTTAAAGCAATTTACAACGATTACAGACGGTATCACCAGTCCTCCACCTCCACCTCCACCTCCACCTCCACCTCCACCTCCTTCTACTCCTACCGCCATCACTGCTACTCCTGTTTCTACCTACTGTTCCGCACTGCGCCCACCTCTGCTTCCATCTCGACCGATCCTACCTACTACTTTTCCTGGTCATTCTCTTCCATCTCAGGTTCTGTGCATTGTCAATACAATAGAATTTCAGACAGAGGCAGCTTCTCCGAGACGGTATTACCCACGTGGAATTGTACAGTGTATCGGATGCCTGTGAAACTGTTGGACATGGTTTAGCTGGGTAAGCCAGTGCATTGCTACAGTTCAGCTGGAGGTGCGCCGAGAGAATTTCAACGTTTATTCTTGGAGAATACAGATTTTTTGTGCAACTTGGATTTTTGAAGAATACGTTTATTTTTATATGCATATTATGGAACTTTGTTATATACACACAAAAGGCAAGAAAGAGGTATGAGCGGCAGGGAGGTCGGGTGACGGTCGGCATGAGGTCCTGGTGGTTGAATTGAGATCGAGACTTCTTTGAGGCATCCTGAGGAATTACCAGGGTCCTCCATAGGCACGTACTACACCACCAAGACCGGCATGTCCTGCGGAGATGGTACCGGAAGGACCAGCTATGACGGCTGGTGCGGAAACTGGTCCGGACAGTGCAGCAGGTCCTGCGTGTGGTCCAGCGACGACTGCGCCGTGTCCTTGGAGAAAGAAAAAATCAAATTTTGAAACTTGTCACTGTCTCCAAAATTTGAGAAGAGAATGTTACTCACCCACACCTGGACCAACGAGACCAAGTGGGCCTACGCCAAGAACGGGTCCAAGACCGTATCCTAGACCAGTGACGGCAGTTCCTCCTACTACACTCCCAGAGACAACAGATGGTCCTGCCACTGATCCAGTTACCACGGCGCCACCGTCGACAGCTCCAGAGATTCTAGCAGGCCCAACAACTGGACCTGCGAGAGCAGCTGGTCCTACTACTGGTCCTGCGAGTCCGGCCGGTCCTAGGACTGGTCCAGCTAGGGCGGCCCCGTGTCCCCAAAGACCGGAAGGTGCGGCCTGGGCCACGGAAAGGGCTACCAACACAATTGCTACGGTCTTCATAGCTGCTGATGATCTACTAAGTTTCTACCACGACTGCTTGTTGCTCGATGTGTCCCCAACTGGGACCGAGCCTGCTTTTATACCTTGGGCCATTGTCTAGCTGAACCATAATCGAACCACAGGGCGGGGCACGACACGCCAAACATTCTCTCAGTACGTTATACACGTATCGTGGGCTTATCAGCGATAGCTGCTGGAGTCAGTGTCACTCGAACGCTAACGCCTCGGTCCGTCCTACCTCTTCCACGGGTCACTTCATTTGTCACTGGTACTGGAACAGTTGGTACTCCTGATCCGGCTTCTTTAACCTGAACGAATTCCATATACTTGTACAGTAAATGTAACACGACTTATCAGAGCATGACAATCAGTTATGATAAAGTAGACAAATGAATTCCCGTTCAAATATCTCACGAGATACGAACTACTTTGGTATTTTGGTCCCACAATATTTCTCCGAGGACCGACAGCTATTAAGGCTGAATCGCATGAGACTTGAACACTCAATGGGCAGCTCCTGAATTTCTACTCAGCTGGCCCCTGTGTGCCACGAATCCTTTGAGCCGAACTGCAACTCCCGATGCATTACTGCATCCTCCCGAATGCCTTCCTATAAATCCTACGGGATTGAACCACTCCTGAATATTGGTTCACGTGGATGAGTGGTTGGGTGGAGCATTCATCTGGCCGTTTCTCAAATTCGGGACATTAGGGAAATCCGTATTAAGCATGCATAGTGTATTTGAACGTATGCATACAACCTACGCGGATTTCTCTGGCTAACCACTTGAACGTGGTTGGAGCATTGGTGTATGTAGAAAAGGACTATATTCAAATCTGCCATTTCGTCAGATTCACTACGGTGCCTGTAGTGAATTTATCGAGATACCATTTCACGAACTTTGTATTAATTGATTAGGCTGCATTATGCACCCGCTTTACTCGACCCACCTGTCTCGGCTGTCTATTATCATAATGATAAGCGCAAACCCATCCTGCCCACAAGTCCTTTGTTGCGAATGCCTTATGATCTTGCGAAGTTTTTAATGAATAGGACAATATGACGGTTCGATTATAAATCTGATGCTTTCAAAACGTCATTGCTGATTAAAGCTCTTTTACCGTGGGCTCATCAATATTGCACCACTCAGCCGTGCAGTTATCAGCTGCATTGGGAGTATCCGCAAACATTATGCAATTATCTACGTAGATATTAATGGCCTATGAAGAATTTATTAATTTTACCGGAATCAGCAATTTTTTATTAATTCATTCGTCAAACTTACGTGGAATCGCGTCAGTCATTAATTGCAGAAATAGAATTGGCACAATTGAATTGTTATTATTACTTGGTGATTTTAAAGAATAAAATTTCTGACTTTTTTTTTGGGTCACCCAGGCAATCTTACTGCGATTCTTATTCTACTGTGATATTAAAATCTTTTTTTTATACGTATGGTACGTATAGGTTAATTCATTTGCCAATCCGAAATTTCGCTTTCAAAATTAACACGAGTCCAACGAGTAGCCTTTATTTCACTGGTGTAGCATGCATGATTAATGATGTCATATGTAAACATTAAATAAGTAAATATAAAATTGGCCTAATAATCCAATGCAATTCGTTTCCTTGATCATTACGTTAAATTGCAATTAGTAAGGTGAACTCGACTAAAAAATGAAAAATGGATATTTATCAGCTAAAAAAATGCATTTATTTGCAACTGTCAAAGGAAACGAAGTTGAAAGTGGAGAAAGAAGAAAATGCAACGCTTTCTGAGGTACAAAGCAAAAAGTAACCGACAGTGTAGACGAGTAGAGGAAGAAACCCTTTCTTCCGTTTCTTTAATTTCTCTCTTTTCCGAGGATGTAAAATGTGTAAAAATAAAAGATTCTTCTCACTAGGGCTTATCGCTCGAGTCCTACGGCCATTAGCCTGCATAATCGCGACTCCTAATGCACTCGCGTTTCCGCCGTTTCTCGACCATTAAATTATCCCGGTGGCTCGTTTTTCTGCCTCGAGCGTCGACCAAGTGTTTGCCAGAGCTGCAACTGCAACTTGTTCTTCAAAGAGAGCATCCATCTGGTGGCGAGAATACGTAACCCAGAAAATCCCTAGGTATTCGTCAAAGTCAAACGACATAAAATTTCCCTAGAATCACGTGGTTGGTCCATATAGCTGGGTTTTTGAAGCATCGTTAGAATCATTTTGGCTCTTTAGGCTTTTCGCGGACTTTCAATTATTATTGAAACTTTGAAGATCAAATTAAAATTAATAAAAATCCCTAGAGATTTCTGGAAATTAAATGGTTACTAGTTACACATAGTTGCCTTCTTCGACAATGGTATAATAAATTTATATTTTTTGCACCTTTCACGCCTTTATTACTACAGGTCTTTAAATCGAGTTTGCCATTTCAAATTGAAACTTATCATTTCTTTTCACTCTCTAATAAATCATTATTCAATGACTTAGGTGGCTGTCGAGCACACCGATTGTCAATGGACCCGGAATTTTCTTTATCCTATCTCGCAGCCCACGTGTGCAAGTCCCTCGCCTATAAAAGCCTCCCTGTGCCACGAGTCACATTGCAACGTTCAGCCGATGCACTTTAAGTGCAAACTGCAGGCGGCGCTGCACCGCTCGATCTACCTTCATCAACGTGCTGGCTGCTTATTTAACATAATACTTTGATAATCTTGAAAGTTAAATTCACCGAGAATTTCGTATGCACTTTGATGAGTTTCCGTGAGTCACTGCGGAAATGAGAAATTTGATATTCTAATTCATTAGGTAACATGACAAACTGATACGAGAAATCCGAAATCATTCTTAACAGTGACTAATGATGTTGTCTCGTGAAAAACAATCAAGCGCGCAAAGTGCACCGCTGATTATCAGCTAATTGCACACGGCGCAGTGCATGCATGTAACGACCACGCCTCGAAGTGCATTAAATCGCTACTCGTTATCGATAGCAAAAGAAATTCCTTCAAGTTCAGAGTCTTTCGATTCCTGATAGTTATCGATCGACCCAGCTGTTCACACCGTGACCCGGAATATCGTATTCGCAGGCATATTTATGCAACACCAAAGCGACGCCCGTGCGCGATAAGCGACGCACTTGCCTTAGTGCGCTTAACCGCCGAGAATTAAAAAAAAAAAAGAGTCGCTTGTAAAGCGAATCAAAAGAAAGAAAAACCACCCGACTTTACAGCATTACCTACGTGCGGCAACGACGTGTTCGCGGATGCATAGAGTGCAGCGATGCAACGATGCAACGGTGCAACGGTGCAACAGTGCACTGCACTCCTCCCGGCGCCAGGCGTCGGTAGGCGCTCACTTATAAGCGGGTGACCTTTTCCAATTTCTAGGGTCTCGTGTGCACTCGCGAACAATGCAATTTGCAATGGATGACGCAATGCACCCGTGGATGCACTTCAACTCCCACTTGGCTTTACAGGTCTAATTATTATGCACTCTTTATCCTCTTTTCATCTCTGCGCATCCAATTGGAATATACTTAATATTCACTATGGACACAATTTAGATCTTGATTATGCTTCGTAGATGATTGGTGCATACGTTAATTGATACCCTTGCACTGTGCACTCCGGAGTGCATTTTATTCATTCGATACACCCAACTGGCCGTCTTGCCTTTCACAATGCATTATTCTTCAGTCATACCTGACTTGACCTTACCCCCTTTACCTTCTTTGGTATTAGCTATAAGTAGCTAATAATGTATAGCTGCAAATAGCCAAAGCTAAGTGCTTCGTGTAACATGAGGTTGACTAAATTTTATATATACATATGTATACTGTATATGTAAATAGATACACGGGTGTCACTTGGATTGCTTGGTTGTCACTCGCGTTAACTTCCGATGCATGCACTTTGGATGCACATTGCGATTGGGGGTATAACGTAATTTTCGACACGTGGCGATGCCAGAAGCGACAGCTGTCAGATTTAATTGATATCGTTTAAATTTTCTTGACGCTTTGCGGATTCGGATAGACGTTTCCGTGACAGACTGTTCTTTGACGTTTTGTCAGTTTAAGCCAATTCAGTAAATACAGGATTTATTGCCGTGAACTGTTATTCGTTTTATTTGGAGTGATATGTTGGCAAAATATCGTTTGCGAAAAATGACCAACAAGAGAAAACAGTTAGTATAAAATTTTCGGTGAAAAAATTGCATTTATTTTAAAGGCATGTACATGAACATACTTTATATACATAAGTCAGGTAGAGTAGTGAGTATCATGACGTTTCAGTACTAATAATAATCTCTGGGGGTTGCGAGGAGTTTTTGAAGTCTGGTGGATTCGAAGAGGCAGGCAGTGTTTTGTTAAAATCCAGAAAAATCTAGAAATATTTTTCTTTTTACCAATGACCATTATGCCCGTATCCGGCATGGACGCCACCATGACCCGCACCGTGAGTCGTGATGGTTCCGGATGGACCAGCAATCACGGCTGATCCTGCAGAGGGTCCAGCTACGGCAGCGCTGCCTGCGTGGGGTCCAGCGATCACTGCACCATGAGCAGCAGGACCTGCCAGGACGACGCCATGTCCAGCTCCATGTCCAACAGCTGTCATAAAAAAGATGTGCGTACAGGATGTGACGTAACGAAGCATAATTTATAATTAAAGAGACGACTTACCTCCTGCCCAGCCAGCTCCGACCCATCCGGGTCCACCCCATCCTGCTCCGCCCCATCCTGCTCCACCCCAGGCACCACCATAACCTCCGTCAACATGAGCAGGTCCAGCAACGGACCCAGTGACGACAGCAGGGCCAGCAACGGCCCCAGACACATGAACAGGCCCAGCAACTGCTCCGGAGAGATGGGCTGGACCCACAACGGGGCCAGCGAGAGCAGCGCCACCTACGTGAGGTCCAGCAAGACCAGCTGCTCCCAAAACGGGTCCAGCCAGTGCTACTCCATGTGCGCCATGTCCTCCGTAGCCTCCATAAGCTCCACCCCACAAACTGCGACGATCTCTTGGACCAGCTGCTACCACGGCGACCAGCGCGAAGACGATCAGCTGGTGGTGAATCGTAACGACGGAAAGAAATATTAATCGGAAACAAGACCCGGTGAGAAGATCTTTAAAAAATCTCTTTCATCACGTCACTGGATAGAAGCCAAAGCAGAATTATACTCACGAAGGCTTTCATTGTCGGTTGCTCTGGATGATCAAGTGTGCCTCTAGGAGACTCTAGTCTGTTCTTATATAGGACTCCGTCTTGGCGACCGCGCCTCCGACTCTCTGATCCCTTCAAATCATATCTGACCGAGTCTCGCCCATCGTTCGGAAGGCCACAAACGCCACAAACGCCACACCCAAGTAGCCTGACGTAGACCCTTCTAACACCGAGGACGCTTGACCGCACAGCGAAAAGACACTTGGAAGTAATATAAGAAAAGGATTGAGAAGGAAAAAGACAAAAAAGAATCGAAGAAAAACGTAGCAACTTTTATCCCAGCATAAAGGCTGGGACAATCGACCGAGCACGTACTGCGCGTGGACGGGGTTGAATGCATTGCAATTTTCCGTAACAAAAAAAATATATCCACCTGTGCAACTTTATCGGTACCTGGTACTGGCTTGGAAACTATTTCACAATTATCCTTTGACATTTTATCATGGATCAATCGACATGAAATATTTGCAACGCGTGTGCAGCTGCTGCACTTTATTGCATATTTATACTTTGTTTGGTTTCGTTATTTATTTCATCAAGTGCATCGTCTCATCCTTAACCAGCGAACCCGACCTTTTCGTCTCTTATGTGAATCGGTCCAATTGTTCCAACGATATTCGTTCACCTGGTCTCAAGATTGTGCACTAGGTTGCAGGAAGGCTGTGCAGCAGGGAAGATACCTTTACCTGCCTTGGAAACCCATTCGGAATTGCGATAATCCTCAGCCAGTCGTACCAATCGCACCGGGATTCACGTAGCTAATGGTGAGACTGACATTTAAAGTCATTGTCTGCAGCGGATGCAATACCGAAGTGCAGTTTATGGGAGCAGCTTCTCTTGAAACGGACCAAACCAAGGCTCCAGCCATAATCGTTAAAACTTGGAAGTGTTCGTGTATTCCTACTTCTACGTACCTTGGATATACCCTTTAAAGATACTAGACAACTCGTATGTACGCATGGGGTGGTTCGAATTTGTTGTATTAAAAGAAATTGTATAATCAGAGGGATGATTTTGCGAATAATTATTATGGGGCTAATAGGATCTTAAAATGTCCTTGAAACCGTAACAGGCAAGAGACGGAAGTCTCGTTGGGTCGTGTGGTGGGGGCTGAGGTGACCGGTACCATTTTCTCACGCGTGACCTTACTAGCGAAATATCGAACTGACAGATTGTCATTGTAGAAAAAGTCAAGTACCGGGACTGCATAGCTGCAAGTCAACCCTCTCCGGTGAAAGGACCACGCCTGCACGCTTCACGCACGATTATTGGTCCCTTGGGATACCTGCTGGGCGACACAGCTTCTTGCGGGGACATTTATATCCCGGAGAATCGAGCCTCTTGCTGGCAGTATGCGGTTTTCTTCGTTTCGCACGCTGGGCACTCTGACCGTACGTACTGGGCTCTCATTTTTGGTTTTAATACTTAACGATTTTTATATCTGCGCCTTTTGTCCTTTGCTATGATACTTGTGGCTCTTATGTGTTTTTCTTTTGTGTGTATCTTTCACGTTGCGTAGATCTATTAATAATCATTAAAATCTTGGATTCGGGGCTGGGGATATATTTTTACTTGATTTTGGTACGTATTGTACGGCTGGTGGTATTTTTAGGAATAATTCCAGTGATTTTGAAGAATTTTTATTACTTGCATACGTACTTTGTATAAATTCATTGTTACGAGGTATTTTCATGTTGTAATTAAGGCCTTGTATACTTATCATTATTTCTTTGTGCAATCTAGGATTTTTCTTCGGTAACATTATTTCTTACAGTAGCTACCGTTAGTAACTCGTTATTAGTACGTAGTACTAATATCGCGAAACTTGGTCAACATTTAAACTGCGTTAATCTGCGAAACGTGTGTTGATACGATAAGCTGGATTAGTCTAAAGCAGAGTCCGAGGGGGTGGTCTAAGCGTACGCGTATTTCTTAAGGGATTTGAGTATTTACTTCGGCGGATGTTATTCAATTCGCAGCTTACAGCGAGATTTCGCAAGGCCTTGTCTAACTGGAAAAGGAATTGGAAATCTTTAAATCGCCCTTAGAAAAAACTTTAATTTCTCCACCAAGTTTTCCGTCAATATTTACAACCCTTTGCACGCACAAAACGTACCCTTAAATATTACTTATTCGCGCCACCCGTGAAATATTTATGATTCCTCCAAGTACTCGACACGTCCCTCAAATTTTGCCCGCTAACGAATGATCCATATCCTGCAAAGCAGATGGGTAAATATTATAATCGGGTTGAAAGGCATCTAAGGGTAGTTATTTTTTTTTTTTTCATTTTTTACAATCAGACCCGCCGCGTGTAACGGACCGAAGAACGTTCATCGGCTTGAGCGTAGAGTTAGTGCAACCCCTTGAATCTTTAAGGATACCCAGAGGGGTAAGCAACCCTTCGGGACCACTTTGGGAGGATGTAATTACAATCCCTTACACAGATATGCCAGATCTTCTCTCAGTCAAGATAAATTTTTTTCTCGCAATATCCCAGAAATTATGTTAATAAATGTGGTACATGAAGAACTTGAGAGGTTATTAATTAGCAGCAACCCCCTATAGGCGCTACGTACAATATCCCTGAAGAGCCTTAGCGAGTAGAGAGCTCCTACGCTTAATACAGTAATTCTTTAATGCAGACTCGTATCAGCTCTATGCAATTTAAAAAAATTTTCCATTTTTTGTTTTTTTTTTTTTTTTTTTTTTTTTTTTTTTTTTTTTTTTTTTTCTTTTTTTTTTTCGCTCAACTACCCCGTCAATGCCCAGTGGTACAGAGAGTGAAAATTTTACAATCAGACTGAAACTGTATTTAAACGTGTCCCTTTTCACCCTCTGTGAATGCACCCACCAATCGTAACCCCCTGTTATTTTCCATGGACGACAGGGGTGCCAATTTCGGCTACAGTAGCGTGGATGCATCTCGCGTTTCCGTATCCTGAAAGAAAGTACAAAGGAAAACTATATTCTTCGGAAGGAGGACCATGGAGAATCGAGGAAATAAAATAAGCAATATACGGGGACGATGTGTAGAATTATTAATTTTCCAAAGAAATTTCTGATAAGGATAATTGATAAGGGTCTTATAGTGAAAACGCCACGGGGATAACGACCATGAAAATTGGGGGTTGGTTAGGCCCTTTTTAAAGAGGCAAAGTTACGGCTGTGCTGTATTCAGGGGGGTTGAGCTATGCGTTATTCAGGGGGTTGGGAATTAAACGGTAACGTAAACAGAAGAAGGAAGTAATGGGTGGTGGAAAAAAAGTGAAATATAACGAGGAAGTATCCCTGTGCCGACGGGGTCGGGGGTTGCAGGACATTCGTTGCATAAAAGGTCAAAGTACGTGTCACAATGTCAGCCATATTACGGTTGTCGAACAATAAGTTTTCAAATCTTGCGATTGAGGCTGGATGTAGTAGGACACTGTAGTAAACGTCAAAGCCTGACAAGATAGTGAAAAACCTTATGGAATTTGATTTAACTTTTCATTTTTTTTCCTCGACTTCGACCAAGTAGCAACTAAAAATTTATCGAAAAAAAAACTAAAAATCATAAACTGCCATATCGGAAGAAATAAAAAAAAAATTAATACCAAACAAACCAAAGACTAAATTAAAATCTAAACGTTAACGAGACAATCGTACACATTTTTCACGCACGATCCACCAGGCTCGTCTTTCCTTCGTGAATTATTAATAAACTTCACTAGTCACGTGCTCGTAAATTCAGTTACACGTAAATGCGTTACGTCTAAAGACGACTAATGGAGCCCAGCTCCTCTCGGCTCGACGCACAACACCATCCATAGTCTCTTCCTCCTTACTTCTCTCACAATCCACTCCTCACTTTTCCTTTCGTTTCCCACGGCTCTACGAACTTTCCCACGGCTCCCACTCACGCTCCCGATGGATCGCTGATTAATAATTAGAAAAAAAAAAAAATGATATTCCGGTAAAGGTCAACGGAACCATCCCAATAACTGTTCGGAACCAAAACTTAAAAAAAAAAAGATCAAAGAATATTTCGTAAACGTATACGGAGGAGGAATCCGATGGGAGGTCAAAGGGCAAAGTCATGATCCGACCAATAAGGGACAAAGGGTTTGCTGTGGGTCTTAACGCTATTGGATAAATAAATAATAAAAATGTTTCTTTTTTTTTTTGAGTTTTAAATACTGATGCTTTATTTTATATAAAGTATTGTATAAATGTATAAACGCTATAAATACGTGGTATCTATCTATGGTGGTGGTGGGGTGCTAGTCGTGATCGCAAAGAAAGAAAGAAGAGGGTATGACGAGGGCGGGGTCAAAGGCCGGCGGCGGCGCGCCATCTATGTACATTAGATTTACTCACGAGAGGTCACTGGAGTCACGGGAGTCACGGTTAACGGCTGACCTACCATAGTCCACCGATTTAACGCGATATATAACGTTAACATGCTATATGTATGTATATATAGATCTCTCCCGATACAAAAAGTATAGATACCGAAGAGATATACGGACGAGTACACATATGCGGTACATAATAATACGAAATATTTATGTTACGTAACTATACACCCTATATATGCGCGCCTATGTATCGTGTTGGTTCTTTGTAATCGTACGGTATATACGTGTATATATGCGTCTTTGCGTCTGTCCATATATATACACGTATAAACACATATATCTATGCATAATACATATTTGCATAATACGTGTGGAAAACGAGTATGTAATAATATGTATGCTCGAGTGCCGGCAGTGAGTATAACAACTGTGAGGAATGGACTATATACGATGACGTACATGGTTATTCCCCATCGTGAGTAGGGGGGGGGGCGGGGGGAGGCGAAAGAGAGAGATAGACAGAAAGAGTGACAGGAGAGATCAAGCGTGAAAGAGAATGAGGGAGTGAGAATTTCGGCTAGAGAGAGAGAGAGAGAGTGAGGGAGGGAGAGAGAGAGAGAGAGAGAGGGATGGAGAGAGTTCAAGAGAATTCGAGAGAGTCTGGATAAATCGAGATGTCGAATATACAGAGAGGAAGTTCGATATTCCGAAAACGTATTTTGCCACGGCTCAGAAGGTTATCGCTCATGATTTTAGGGCGGTACGAAAGGAAAATGGATTTCCGGTTTGACCGTGGAAAAATAAAACGAGAGACGCCGAGAATCGTTCAGAAAACAGAACGCGTTCTAGAATGTTCCCGGTTCCTTTTTTTTTCGAAAGCTCCTTCGAGGGAGCTTCTGATACATCCAGTGGCCGGATGGGCTTGGGCTTTTCAACGAGTTGAAATTGATGGATCATTTAACGGTCAGGCAGGAGGGGTCTGTTTCAAGCCCCCTGCGATCAATCCTCATCCTCGTCTCTGGTTTTATCCGATTTTCTTTTTTTGTTTTCGTACGTTACCGATTTCGTCATGTCGCGAGTGGACCCATCCCGGGGTTCTTGTCGTCACTGGTCAGTGAGAAGATGCTGGATCCTCTTTCGAACGATGCTCAACCCGTTGCTAAGGAACGAAGCTATCCTCTCGTAATAATCCAGAATGCAGTCCCTTGCAGTCCCCGATTCTCCTCGGGCCCCCCTAGACTCTCGACCCCCTAGGACCTTTACTTCACTCGCGCTCACTGCTTCCGTTGGCTTGACTTCCGCTTGCCGTCGTCTCTGTTTCCAAAGCTACTCAGTTCTTTTCGTCGAAGCGCCGATTTCTTCACAATCTCGATACTCCCGTAACTCTCCGCGAGCGCCGTTGCTCCTTGCAAGTTCCGTCGCTGACCACGTGGCTTTCCTCCCGATGGTCGGACGCTTGTGGTCGATGATGGCGGGGGACGTTTGAGCGCGTGACAGATGCAGATGGTGGGGCGAGAGTGTGGCGAGTACAAGGGGAGAGTATAAAAGAAAAAGGAAATTCGAAGATTGAGTAAGAGAGAGTGAGAGTGAGAGTGAGAGCGGAAAGTGGATGAACCGGTAGATAACTGTGGTAGGTATGCCGCCGCCGCCGAGCCGAGATCGCGTGGTCTAGATCGTCTACCACTTGCCAATGGGTGCGGGGATGATGGCTCCGTGGGAGCCGAGACCGGCGTGGATGGCACCGGAAGGTCCGTTGATCACGGCGACGCCGGCGTCGTGGCCGCCGATTCCACCGGCGATACCGGGTCCACCGCCAATGACGGCAATGGCGCCGGGTCCGCCGTATCCGCCAAGACCACCTCCAACGAGACCACCTCCGAGAGCGATACCTGCTGAATTGGTAATTGGACGTTGCTCAAGGGACATTCGTATCCGTGGTCATGGGACAATGGACCTAGTGTTTCACAGAGAGGATGCTGTCAAATCTCGTCCGATACTTACCACCTCCAGCGGCGATGGCAGCGCCACCTCCAAGTCCACCAGGAGCGGCAGCGGCGGCAGAGCCGGAGCTTCCGTCGTCACCGTTGATTCCACCGGATCCGGCGTAGAAAGCGACTCCACCGTAGCTGGGTCCGACGAGGTTAGCGGTAGCCTGAGATGGTCCTACGAGGGTGGCAGTTCCCTGGGATGGTCCTACGAGGGTGGAAGGTCCAGCGGCAGGTCCGACGAGGGAGGTTGGTCCGGTACGGGGTCCACCAATGGACTTTGCGCCTTCCTGGGGTCCGACCAAGTCAGATGGTCCGCTCTGGGGTCCTACGTTGGCCTTGGGTCCTTCCGCGGGTCCAACGTCTGATCTTCCACCGGTGACTCCTGCATTTTTAAAAATGTTCCAAGTGTTAGCTCGTCCTGGCGCATTGCAGCTGGACCCACTGCCCTGGCTCAGTCAGGGTGACCAACCTCCGGAGACAATTTGCTGAACTCCTGCAGCACCGGCTGCCGCCGCTGCTCCTGCGGCGTAGCTAGCGCCAAGACCACCGGATCCCAAGCTCGATGCTCCACCCTGGAGGGATGCTGCGGTTCCAGCACCAGCTGCCAATCCACCGCTCAGTCCAGCGCCTCCGTGGCCTCCGCTAACCGCGACACCACCTCCGTAGCCACCTCCGTAGCCACCTCCGTGACCACCATAGGAGATGACAGGGCCGTGCGCGATACCGGCACGCGCCGTCGCTACAGCCAGGCAGGCGAACACAATCTGTGGGGTATTGACAGGTGCTTTAATTAGCTGCTCTTAAAAAAAAATGCTTACTGCGTAAACATGCAATTTAGGAAAAATGCATCGACCGGACGAATTACGTTATTTTATGTTTTACAGATAATACGGATAACACTTGGCTAAATATAGGGGGAAATAGTTATGGTCTCTACGATTACAATCGACTCTATGGATCCGATAAACATAACTGCACCTTTCACTTTCGATGCAAGTTATGTGCATTGCACGAGAGTTCCGTATTGGTACAGAACATCGACTCGAATTACTTTCGCGGTTAATTTCAAAATTATCCGCTCCTAAATTGCGCCCGACGCCTGATATAGTTTTCTCGATGGATAAACGTTCGGCGGATTTTCACGAAGCGAAGAAAAAGTTAGATAAAATGCAACTTCAACGGAATGCAACTAAAAGTGCATGTCGCTTGCGCGGAATAGCCCGGAGTGTTGTTATGTCATAAAAGTTATAATAAGTGAACACAGCCGGCGTGACCAGTTGGCTTCATAGGGAATTTCTGCTGGTCGACGAGTTCGCGTGCTGTAACGTTTCGTAATTGGAGTGATAGTGCACCGATTGCATTTTCGCATAGCTAATGATCCGGTTGCTCGACACCACGCCTAACCTGACCATATTAGGGGAAAAATCCGCGACTCTGCGAGCACCGAGTTAGTTAATAGTCCCGTTCGCGTGTATACGAAGAAATAGGTAGGAAAAGGAAAATAGAGCAAATTGACACAACTTGTAAAAGTGCATATACGAACTGCAGCGAAACACAGTGCAACGCTTTATGCAATCGACTTCGCCCGGCGTAGTCGGCCTTTACTCGATTCATAATTATTCGACGTTTTAGCCCGAGCAATGCTAATTTATCCGAACTTTGGAAACTGCTTAGAGAATCATGGAGAATTTGAGTATTGTTTGCTCCATTAAAATCTGCCCAGAGGTGCAACTCAGGATGCGCTTACTGTACTTCCTCGATGCACCGGTGCATCCTCGAGCTGTGTTGCATCTGCCAATAAAGGTCGCGTCATTAAAACCGTGACGACTGTCGGAATAATTTGCGAGAGAGAGAGAGAGAGAGAGAGAGAGAGAGAGACAGGTAAACAGCCGAGTAGCGAGCGAAGGGAATAAACTTATTTTAGCGTCTAATGCAAATATGGACAATGCAACTCTATGCAATTCTAGTGCAGCGGCAATACGGGGACAAGAGGTAGATATCGTTGTAGGTGCAACAGGCCGTAGAATGGGAAGTGGCGTTTAGAAAGGAAGTGCTCCGAAGCAATACGGAGGCTGCGCGATGACTGGAGAGCAAATTAGATTTATCTCGTAGCTAGTAAAGCGATAGCGGAATGACGCGTGCACACCGAGTGCACGTGTCACGCCCGGCTGAGAAGTTGCACTCGAGGGACACGAGTGCAACCTGGAATTATGCATATATCCAAGGTGCTCTTAAACTTTCACATCCCGTCGCCGGACAATCGCGGACTCTATGTATTTACCTTACGATTACTCGAGTCTTGCCTCTTTTATTGTAAAATCACTTTTCCGATAAATTTACCTTTCCGGGTTAATTTATCATTGGAAATAAAGTCGCAGTGAAAATCAGAAGCGGTCGCGGTCGCGTTATAAAAATTGCGTCTATGCGATTTTTTGTTGTATTTATTTTTCGAGACAGTCGATTGGCATTGATGCATTTTGGTCCTGATGCACATGCAGGCAATTTTCATGAATGAAGATGCATCCGATATGCATTCACTAACTGTTCACGTGAATGCGAGGAGGATCGTAACCGGTTTAAGACTTGCAAGTAGTAAGTAGTAAGATTGACGGTTTATGAATGAAATGAAAAAGGCAGGACGGTCGCGCAAGATCGAGTTCCCCGCAAAAAGGCCGACATTGAATTATACGTTTGTGGCTCATTGTTATAGACACTGACCGCGAATGATTAACAAATATAATCGGCAAAGTTACAAGTAGAAAGTTTTTCTTCGTTAGTCAAAAATTGAGATTTTGGAAAAGGCATAATAATCAAATTACCCTTAGCTGTTTCGTATTGAGAGCAGAGAGAAATGAATTTTTGGAAATTTGGTTGAAAAAAAAAAATAGTTCAATTTTAAAATACAATTAATTCAATCGATCGCGAATAATTCAACAATATTATTGAACAATAAATACAATGTAGGGACAATGACGAAACAGTGAGAATCAAAGCAGACTATTATTATCTGTATAAGTAATATGAATTCAGAGAAAATAATATAAGAATTCCGAATAAAAGTGAGAGAAATTAAATTATTATTTTAATTGGCGAAATGATTCTAAAGATCCGAAAACTCCAAAGGACCCCAGCGAAATACTCACAAAGGCCTTCATGTTTGGTGTGTGTGTGGTGGGCTGGTAGTCCGGTGAATGACTGACTTGGGCCAGGTCGCTGGGCCTTATATACGGCTAACTCTAGTCTGGCCACGCTCCACAATCACCATCCTTTCGAAAGCCGCCCCCCTCACCCTCCCGCCCTCACCCAGAAAAACCATAATCCTCCGAGTCTGCGAGTCCAGGCCTAGGAGCGTGCTGGGTGGATTGGATGGTATGATGGTGGTGGTTTACTAGGTTGGTTGTCGTGGTTTGTAGATCGACGCCATCGACGCCATCGACGCCGACTTCGTGGACTTCATGGACGTCGCAGATGTTCTCTGTCACGAGGTAACACGTCACAGTGATCCTCGCATCCGACGCCCTGGCACCGGGTCACCAGGTCAATCTTTGAGGTATGGTCAATCTTGATGGTCACTTGGTTACATTGGTTAGCTATGATCTACTTTGGTTGCAGTTGCAGTTGCAGTCTTTACCGGTCACGCTAGACGGCGCAGGTGCACCAGAAATTGGGAAACTCTGGTTTATGCGGATCTCGAAGGTGACTGATGCAATTATATGGGGAATTACCAATTGTAGGAATCCCGAACGAAATGGATGTCTTTTCTCAATTCTAGCGATGATTTCAGGTTATCGATCACTCTCAGGTGTCTCAACACGTATTCATCGACTTTTTTGGTACTCTTGAGAGTGTTGGGGATTTATGGAATTATCGTACAGTCCGTATAAAAGATATGTTATACCTCCCTAGTTGGGCAATTTTTGGGTTACTGGTTTTGGGTACTTACTGACAAATTTTGAAAAAAAAAAAAAAAAAATATACTTGGAACTGCATTTCAATGCGGGTCTACCTACTGATGGTGGCAACGACGAAAGGGTGCTGGGAATTGTATTGAACGGTAAAATTACAGGTCGCCGAATGGCCTTAAGAGACCTGAATTCTTTTCTATATCGATTGCCTAGCGCGACTTGTTACTTATTACCTCAACCTACTAATTTCTGCGTTGCACGTCGAAACAAGAGCGAGTCACCGCCAGAGGGGTTGCTTTCCATCGCGAGCGACAACTTCAATTACGTTACTTGCCGTCCCGATTTCAGCGATCAATCAAAAATAAATTTTGTCAAACTGTGCGATAAATTGCTTTAACAATGTAAACAGGATTGCGTTAAGTCCTCGATTCAAAAAAAAAGTGAATGAAAAAAAAAATAGATCCTAATTCAAAATACAATTTTCACACGTTCCGTTGTGGACGTCTCTGCCAATTAGGAATTCATGGCGGCCCACGCGTTAATTAAAAAAAAAAATTCTGAAATCAAGGTCACGCTTCCTTTCCTCCGTATCTCTGCCCCTCGACCCCCTTAGCCCCCGTCTCCTCAACAGGTTCCCGATCCTTGCCGATACTCGTTAAAATTTTTCCAACGATATCCTGGAAAGTGAAAGCACATATATTTGGAAATGGCAAAAATGGCCACGTCCAATGGCCGATCTCCTTACCAACGCCTATGCCTCCAACTCTACCGATACTCCTATACCTATATTCATACTTTTCGTAGGTACCATTAGCCAATATAAAAGGCACAGTACTCACCATAATGATTCTCATTTCGTCATCGGAACCCGAGCGCGCACTGTTGCACTTCGTATTATACGAGCAAATTAGTTGGTGTCGATAATGCCCATAAAAAACATTGTCATTTTATCAGATAAATTAGTGATTATGTAACAAAGGCACGAATGAGCACTAATTCGGAAATTTCATTGCAGCCAATAAAAAAAAAATTTAATTATCTATGACCTGTGAAAATTAAAATTTTTTTTTTCCATTTCATCATTACATGTCTAATCGATCTAACGAACTTGATGACTCGTTCAATGATGATTTTCCAAAGATGCACTCAGAAGCATCAAACACGGTACCATTGTATTCCCATGTAAAAAAATACCTGACTGCATCAAAAGCGTCACCAGATGAAAAAAAGTCCTATCAGGATATAAAGATCAGCCTTATCGTGGAGATAGATAAAAAGCTGAACAAAGAAAAAGGAAGAAAAATTTTCTAAAAATATTTATAAGAGATAACCCATTTATTCCTTATACATTAAAGTCACTCAACCTGATCGCTAACGACTAATGACCTTTTCATTCATAGGCCGTTAGCATAGTAAAAAAAAAGGGAAAGGAAAAAAGGTATTTCCCACGATGCGTACGGCCCTGCAGATATACACTCATGTGCTTACGTACGTGAACTCACTCGAGTTTCCCCCGTGACTTGCTAAACGCTGTTATTCAAGTAAAGAATAGTATTTCCAAAGTTAATTCAGGATTTTGTATTAACTCGAAAAAATGATTATATAAAAATTACGATAAAATTTATTTATTCTCAATTATGCATTTATACGTGTATAATAATTACGCGAAACACCCTCATCCATATATTGTTATGTATATATACGTCACAACTAGTCCTAAATACTTTCTGTGCATTTTCCATGAGATTTCATGATATTTCTAACCACAAGGAACTAACTGTTGGTTTGTACGTTTGAAGCAGCGCCAATAGATACAACGTATGGGATTTGCATAGAACGTTAGAAGGTTCGAGCGATGCACACGGAATTGCATAGATGCATGTGCATTGCGAGGGATACGCTCGATTCGATTCGTAAGCTGTTCGTTCGCGCTTTTGCTCTAATTTTTATGTAACACGAGGATGTGAAAACGGAGAAATTTTATTCATGAAAGACTCCGGTGAATCCATGGGAAAACTTCCTTCTATGTAACGCAGTTAAGGATTACGTATATATATATGTTTATATACTGTCATTGCTACATATATATCCTTGAATAATGTTCAGCTAAGCTTAGCCAAGTAATAGCGTACCGATAGAACATATTTATGATACCCACTAAAGCACAGTATTTACGGTGATTTCTATGTTTTCTATAATGACGTCTCAGTTACTTTACCGGACAATAGAACAAGATTCAAAAGTCTCGGTAACCCGCTACCTTAAGACTTGTACACAGTGCAGACTTCGCTTCGGCAAACTAGCTCGAAAGTATATTACGCAATAGCTTCGAGCGGGACAGCGATATAGAACAGTGTGGGCTACCACTGCCCGCCATAGAACATAGAGCTGCCCATCATTTCCGTGTTCTGTCCGACATACTGCTCCCACATTATTATCCAATCCTCAATATTCTATTGGCTACAGATACGTCAGCTTTCGCGAGGGATTACAATAATTTTAGTCATTTTTTTTTTAAAACTCGACGATTACTTTTTTGGAATCGAAAGAAATTGTTTGGGGTGGTTTTTTTAAAAATTTTTTATTGATACCTTACTTTTTATTCCGTGTTTCAGCCCATTTTCCAACCGACTGTCTTCTCGTCGTCATAGTCGATTGCGTCATCCAACTTCCGGTCTCGGTAAGTAACAGCTACTTAGTCAGAATGCATGTGCAGGGTTGACCGATCGACAGTCGCTCGCCGATTCCCTTACTCTCGCGAAAAAAAAAAAAAAAATCAAGACACGCCTATCTTGCGCTTATATGTGGAGATCGGTTAGAGCGCGTGCCCATGCGTGTAGAAAATGCTCTGGTTCACGCTCCGGGGATACCCTGGTACGTTAGACAGAAACTGGTGTACAGTCGAAAACAAAAATTTCTCGCTAGAGAGTTGTAACGATGTACATTATGCCAGATGGCTAAGTGTTGCTTGGGTTTGCTGGAGGAGAGCAGGAATAAGAAAAAAAGAGAAGCAGAGAAATACAGAATGCGATATATAGACCGAGAGAAGTCTCATTGGGCGTTTTCGCTTTCCAAAGATTACGCGGACATTTCCCAACTTGGTTTCTGCTGTTGACCAATGGAAACTGCAAGGACTATAGTTTTTCGGATAGCGGTTTTTGAACGCGTGGATCCCTTGAGATTTTCTTTTTTTTTACGTACAATAAAATTTACTCGAATTTTGATTTGATATTAAATAAAGTTTTTTAAAAACTTTTTCATATTTCGTTATACAACTGGTGGGGGAGGGGTGGCTTTTTCGGTTTTGTACGAGTAGGGGCACCCCCCCCCCCTCCGCAATTGCGTGATTCGCTGCATATTAATTATGAAAATCAGGGTGGGAGGAGTTAGTTCGCAAGCAGGCGAGCGTAGCGCGTAAATGTTGAATAATAACTGCATTCCAGGTGCATAGGTTGGCTATATATATCGGGCGGTGCATTTAGCTGCGTTTATTAGCCACTCGAGCTTCGCCCTCTAAGGAACAAAGTGCCATTTTAATGGCTGACTAGAAAGAGCCATTACTACTTGGATATATTTACGAAGCCTTTCATCATTTTGAAGTCGATTTCAATCGGGTCGATATGCTCGTACATCTATATTTTTCATTATTATTGAACCACGATCATACCGGGTGCTGCGAATTCAAATGAAAAAAAATTCAGGTCGACATTTTCTCTACGGAATGTGTACTATGCAGTGCAAAATTTTATTTTTCTATTATATATTTCTTTTCTATTTGACATATAGTTGTAAATACTAGTCCGAGTAGCTATGCGTATATATATATCGTTGAAATATTATTTTTCACATAAAATCGAATCCGTTAGGAAACCAGTGTATTTGCACGATGTTAATCCCATTTTTCCCGAATGGGAGGAAAAAGGGAACTGCACTCTTTGCATATTCGCGAACGATTCCATTCACCTGCATAGTTCAGTGCAATCGCAAAATGCACCAACAGCATCGTCTTACGTATAAAATCATCTGTCTATACAGTTAAACGCTATAGATGAATTAATGAAATCATTCTACAGCATCCACGAGTTAAAAGTGACATTGTACGAGGATTAAAAAAAAATTTCAATTTGACGTTCTTAACCTGATTAAAAGATCCGAGATGTTGCATTTTTTAAATACATGGTACAGTGAATATAAAATTTTATCAATTTTCAAATATAACGTCTAAATACACTTTCTTCTTCTTTCTTTCGAGTGACCTTATTACAGTTAATGCACCCGATGCATTTAT